ATGCTTCAGGCCCTGAAATGCAGCCTGGAACCTTGGGGGTCTCCCCCTCTCCCGGTGCAGCCATAGGTTGCTCTGGGGGCGGCCTGGAGAATCATCCCGCATGTGCGCGATGCCGTGTGGCCGGGGGCCCTCCCTCGGGCAGTTTGGCTTCTGCTTCAGTCAGCGGGTCGTGGGTCTGAAAGCTGACGAGGGTCTGGAAATGGGGCAAAAGGTTGTGACGTTTGATTAACCACCACCTCTCGATCATCCATCCTTTGTTTCACTTGATTGTAGAGGTTGCGCCCCACCCATGCTGTCTGCCCACGCGCTGTGTCTGCAGACACGTCCTCTTCTGTTCATGGTCTCCGTAGTTCTCTGAAGATCAGTGCTCCCTCCACTCTCCCACTTTGCTCTCACTGCTCCTCAGGCTCAGCGAGCTTGCCCTGGCTCTGAGGGCTCAGCGCCGCCCTCAGGGAGCCCCGTTCTGCAGCAGTCCCCTGCCGTCAGCCCCAGCCTGCAGAGGACAGCCGCCGCTGCTGCACTTCTCGCCGACAGAGTCCGTGCCTCAGCAGAAGGTCTTCCAAGCCTTCCAGTGACACATGGCTGATTCGCTTTCCAGCCTTACATGCCATACGCTGCCTGTTCTTGGGTGCTCACTTCCCTGAGCCTTTTAACCCCTTCTTTCACCATTTGCCAAGAATTCCTGGCATTGTGCTCAGTGTGGGGCCACCTATTTCTCCAAGCTTCCAAAAGTGCTTGCAATGTATTAGCGCTATCTCCTGGCATCCGTGCCTGTGTGATTAAACCCTTCTCCCTGAGTACACTCCTCCTCACTTAGCTCCCCAGCACACAACTGCATGCCCCACCCTGCTCGATCCAGCATCCTCAGGACCCAGACCCACGTACTCTCCTGGTTCCTGCAGATACAGATTAGCTAAGGTCTGCAGCAGCTTCAGGGGGTAGTTCTTTTCCTCCCTTTTTCCTTTTTTAAAAGATTTTATTTATTTAATTTTGGAGAAAGGAGAAGGGAGAGAGAAAGAGAGGGAGAGAAACAGTTGCCTCTTGCCCACAAGCTGACCGGGGACCCAGCCTGAAACCCAGGCAGGTGCCCTCCCTGGGAATCCTGTCTGCATGCTTTTGCTTTGCAGCGATAACACCCAATCAACTGAGCCACGCTGGCCAGGGCCTCTTTTCCTCCCTGATCAGGCCCAGCATTTCCCCTGTTGGGTTCTGTGGTGACTTGCCCCAAGTTATTGGTGATGACTAGGAGGGAAGGAAAGAGTCGATTACGAGAGGGGCACAGGTTTTACTGCAAAGTAGAGGCCTGTCTCCATCATCTTCAAGCATGACCAGGAGGCGTGGGCCACTTTTGCAGGCCCAGGGAGCCTAGCGGGATTGGTATTTCGAGATGTTTGCCTGCGTTCATCGCAAGGTCCTCACCCTGAGTCTCAGGGTTCTCCTCTTTTTCCAAACGGGTCCTGACCTCCACACAGCAAACCTCCCGGGCTTGAGAATTCAACCTTATCTGAAGTTAGGCTGCTCTTACATTTTGCTAACAGGCTTCAAGAAACTCTCCAGTTTTCACACTTTTCCTCAACTGGAGATAACCACCCTCTCAGCCTTTCCTTATCAATAGCTCCCAGTAATAGCCATTCAAATCCACAGTCCTTAACAATTGCTTCCTCCTCAGCCTCACAAAGCCTGGAGGCACAGCATCCACAAGTGTGCTCCCTCCCATCAGTGTCCCATGCCAGTTCAACACCTGTGACAGTTTTTATAACTATGCTGCTGCCGGACGGGCATTGTCAGTACTCCACCAATCACAAGTGAGAGTGTCCTCGTTGCCAGCAACCTGTCAGGTGACCGGAGCCAAAATCTCCATGTAAAGTCAGCTTTCCTAGGACAACTGCTAGTGCCGACTGTAATAGGGCAGATCCCCTGGAAACAGATTCTGGATGGAGTAGACGGTGGAGAATTCCATGCAGAGGTGTTATTGGATAGTGTTCTCTAGACAAATACCTGTAAATGAATGATACCTGTAAGGAAAATTAGGCAGAGGGAAATGTTGAAATGCTGTACAATTGAGACAGAGGTCTCGCTTGATTCTACAGAGAACTCAAGCTAGGATGGCCCTTAAGAGAGGTTACAAGTTAAGGCAAGGGGACAAGATCTTTGAATCCCTGTAGTGAGTACCACTGGATGTGGACTGCCCCGGGGCTGAGACATAACCTGCAAGGCCACTGTCTTCGGCCAGGACAATTCCCTGGGAGGTATTTAGCTGTGAGCCGTTAGCAGGCACACACACAGGCAACTTGGGGCGTGGGTGCCCGTCCCTGTCCGCCCATCACACTGTGCTCTGTAGGGTGCATTAAAGTTTCCAGCCTTAGTTGTTTTATGTTTTGCTCCCTGCAGTTCTGGCAGTTATTGTTTGATATTTTTTGAGGCCTATTGTTAGAGACATACTCATATATTTATGATGGATATATCTTTTCTGTCAAGTTTTCCTTTTATAAGTGGGTAACATGCTTATTTTTCCCCTTATAATCTTTTAAAATGTATTCCACTTTATAAAATATTTGGAAGATTGCCTGCATAAATCAGGATTCAACCAGACAATCAGAACCAGTAGGATGTAGCTTATTCAACTGTGGGGGCCAATTGGGCAAGTTCGAAGCTCACAGGGCAGTCTATGAGGAAGGACATGCTGGAAGCTTTTCCACGGTTTCTTCTTCATCAAGGAAGCCTCAGTTGTGCTTTTAAGGCCTTTCAACTGATTGGATCAAGCCCACCCAAATTACCTAGAATAACCTCCTTTACTTAATTCAACTGAATTTATGGACTTTAATCACACCTACAAAATGCCTTTATGGCCCTGACCAGTGTGGCTCAGTTGGTTGGGCGTTGTCCTGCAAAGTGAAGGGTCACTGGTTGGATCCCCGGTCAGGGCACAGGCCTAAGTCGCAGATTCAGGGAGCGTACTAGAGGCAACCGATTGATGTTTCTCTCTCACATCGATGTTTCTTTCTCTCTTTCTTTTTCTCCTTCCCTTTCCCTCTCTCTAAAAATAAATAAATAATTTTTAAGAATATCTTTTTTACAAAGCCTGGATTAGTGTTTGATTAACTAGCAGGAGACTGTAGCCTAGCTGAGCTGACACATTTGTCTGGTGTGGTCATGCTAAGACTCTCTGACACTCCTCCCATCAGGAGATGGGGTCTCCACCTGCTTCTGCTTGATTCTGCACAGACTCATGACTGGTTTGTCCAAGAGTATGATGGAAGCAATGCCAGGCGACTTCCAAGGCTGTATCACAGTCAGCCATGGAGCTTCTCTCTTGTCCACCAGAACACTGCTCTTGAAACCCGGTTATTTGTAGGCTTTAACCACCAGATAAAAAGTCTGACCACCCTAGTACTCCATGCTGAAAAGGCCACATGTACGCACTCTGGTCAAATCCAAGCTGAGTTCATCCTTAGGCCGTGTTAGCACATGCACAAGGCAAGGGGGGGAACAAGCAAGCATAATAAATGGTTGTTTATGTATTTTTTAAAGATTATTCATTCATTCATTCGTTCGTTCATTCATTCATTTATTTATTTATGTTTAGAGAGAGGAAAAGGGAGGGAAACATTGATCCGTTGCCTCTTGCACGCCCCTAACAGGTGGGCCCTGGCCGGCAGTCCAGGCATACTCCCTGACCGGGAATAGAACCGGCGACCTTTCCGTTTGCAAGGCAACGCCCAGCCCACTGAACCACACCAGTCAGGGCTAAGTGGTTGTTCTATAAAACCATTAATTTTGGGGGTAGTTTGCCAAAACAGCAGTAGACTACAGGAACACCTAGAATATGTTTTTCTATCCTTTTATTTTCAAGCATTTTGTGTTTTTAGCCTCTTACAAACAACATGCTCGTTTCTAATCTGGGAGTCTCAGAATCAGTTTCCTGAAGAGGAAGTCAGAGCCTTTAAGACTGAATGTTTATTTACAGTAAATCCCAAACCAGCACTTCGAGTCTTTTTGCTTTTGGACCTGCATCCTCTCTGCCCACCCTTCCTCCGGGACCTCTAGCACCAGGTTTATTCTGATTAATTAGCGCGGGGCTCCAACCCTCCCCATCCGAATCCTCCCTCCTTCCCCAGCAAAATGCTGGTAGCATCTCAGCCTCCAAAGCCGTCTGCTAGACCTGAGTCTGACCAGGGAATCTTTAAGGTTCCATTCAGAGCCTAGAAGGCGAATGAGCAAGTCACAGTGATAGGGCGGAGGAGGTTGCCATGGCGACAAGCCCAAAGAAAGAGGCGAAGGAGGCCCGGGGAGCAGTTTCCGATTGGCTCAGCGGACGCGCAGCGTTCGCCTCGTGCACATGCGCAGTGGCCCCGAGGCGAGGTCTCGGCGAAGCCGAGGCGCCGTAGGTTCCGGGCCGGGCTTCTCAGTACTGGGCTGGAACGCGCTGTTCCTCGCCGAGATACGTTGTGCTTTCCGGGGAAGGGAAGTGGCGGAGCTAGAGGCTCCTCTGCAGCGCGGGACTGAGCCCGCCACGCAGGCGCCCGCGAACGCGCCCCCGCCGCCATTGTTGCCCGGGGCCTCTCGGCTGCGCGTCCGCCGGGTCCCAGCCGCAGGTAATGATGTCGCGGCGCCGGGGCCGAGTGTCCGCGCGGTCAGGGCCGGAGCCCTAGCCGATCCATGATCCATGCACGGGCGGCCGTGCTCGCGGCCTGCGGGGAGGTGAACGCAGGGGGATTGCTGCTGTGGGGGGTCCAGCCCCAGCACAGCGCGTCGCCTGGCTCCGACTCCCGCTGCCCGCGACTCTCCAGAAGAAGAGGAGTTGGTGGAGACCCGCCGGAAAGGGGAGGCGACGGGAGGCGAGGCCAGCGCACCTGCTGTGCAGGACCTTGTAAACTGTTCGGCTTGGTGACACGACTGGTTGAGGAGGGCTCAGAGCTGGCGCCCGTGGACTGGTGTTAGGGGTTCTTCTGCAGGTCAGGCCTGTTTGAGGTTTTCTTTGGGGATCCTGGCTTCAAATTTATTCTTAAGGAATTCTCTCCTTTAGAAACACTTAAAAGGGCTTCAAATCGTACCAACCTTTTCTACTTCTTTCCAGTCCTGCCCGCTTGTCTCCCCTGCCCTGGGATAGTGAAAAGCTAGGATTGGTTGGCATTCGTATGCAAAGCAGGTAAATGGATGGCCCTTTTATACGTCTAAAGATATAAGGGAAGGAGACCAAGGTAAAATCTGTCTGTGATTGTGCACACTGGATAGTCTGTTTCTGTTTGTGCATATGTATAGCGGAGAGCACCAGGAATTCTTGACTCTGTGGTCTCATCTTGTGTTTCAGGGTTTCCTAACCATCCCTGCAAGTTCTAGGCTCAGAATTTGTAACTAAGGCTGATGGCTCTACCTTGACTCTGATGTGCCCTTGTCATCGTGGCTCTAAGATGAGACTTAAGCAGTTGGCTCACTGCTAGAGAAATAAAGGATATCGCCAGATTGCCTCCGCTGCAATGTCAGCCCCAAGCAAGAGGATGACCAGTTCTTCACGCTCCCAAATCTTTCTAATGTGGAAGCCAGACAAAGCTCAGAGAGGACCCCACAGTGTTGAAAAGGAAACCCTTGCTTCAAGACTCTTGCGTGACACTGAGACTTGTCGACAGAATTTTAGGAATTTTCCGTACCCAGACCTGGCTGGTCCTCGAAAAGCATTGAATCAGCTCCGAGAGCTCTGCCTTAAGTGGCTGAGACCTGAGATTCACTCAAAGGAACAAATCCTGGAGCTGCTGGTGCTGGAGCAATTCCTGACCATCCTGCCTGGGGAGGTTAGGACTTGGGTAAAGTCTCAGTACCCAGGGAGCAGCGAGGAAGTGGTGGCTTTGGTGGAGGATTTGACTCAGATTCTAGAAGATGAAGGTGAGAATTACAGAGCAGAGGGGAGGAATCCTGGGTGTTTACAGAAGACGGCAAGCATATCAGAAAGCAGCCTGTTAGAGCAGTTGGGATAAGGATGGGCAGTGAGTGAGAACAGGCTTAACATGAGCCCCATCCTGTGTGGTATTGCCCTTCAGATTTCTTGGAACCAAATAAACATTATCTACACCTAGAGGAGATGTGTCATAAAACAGTGACTGGACACAACCATTTATCCCCTCGTGAGCCCTCAGGAGATTTACCTGCAGATGTTTGAACCATTCTGCCAACAAATTATTTGCTTTGTGAATTGGAGTCTACAGTAACCTACTTCCAAATAGGTAGAAAAGGGTCCAGAGGACATTTCCTTATTTAGTGAGGACACAGTTCAAAATTTATATCACACGAGGGGTTAGTAGAAAATTATGAATTTGGTACATATACTTAAGTCTCAGAGCAGACTTATTTTTGACGTCTTCACTAATGTCTTAGGATGAATTATTGCCTCTTTCTGCTGATTTTTTTTTTTTTTTAAGAGAGAAGGGAAGGGAGGGAGAAAGACAGGGAGAGAAACATCGATCAGTTGCCTCTCACACACGCCCTGACCAGAAATCAAACCAGCAACATTTCACCCTGCGGGTCAACACCAACCAACTGAGCCACACTGGTTAGGGCTCTGCTCATTTTTTGAAGCAGGGATGCTATGTTTGGTTTCCTTCTCACTTCTCATGTTAAGAAAGTGCAGGCATCTATCTGGTGTTTAGTTCCCTAGGCAATTTAAACAGGACTAATCTCCATCATGGTCTTTTTCTCTTCCGTAGCTGATCCTCAGAACTCTGCCCTTTCCCAAGAGACCCCAGAGGAAGACCTCAAAGGAAGACATGCTTTCCAGGCAGGGTGGCTAAATGATCTGGTGACCAAAGTGAGTTTTAGTGTCTTCTGTGATTTTAAAATGCCTTCATAGAGTGTGGTGACATTTTCTATCCTGGCCCTCTGACTTCAGTGACCCCAAAAGTTCTATCAAAGGCCTAAGCCTCAGTTTTTCTCCTTAAATCACCTGGGCCTGGTAGGGTAGGTGGATGCCCTGTGTAGGAAATGGCATTGCCTTCTCTCACTTTTTGACATTAAGGCAGCAATATCGCATTGAGGTTAAGAGATTGACCTGCACAGCCAGATGGGTACAGGTTTGGTTCCTGGTTCTGCCACTGGACCTGTTTTTTGGGGCAAGATACCTAACCGCTCAGACTGAGTGATTTGACTCTAATAAGTAGAATATTTCTCTTAGATTATGAGGATTAAATATTGTGAGACTTGTTATGCTGGACTACAGTGTGTGATCAATAAGATCACGGTAGGATAAACAATAGTTACTAATACTATTTTTACTCATTACCAAGTAATTAAAGGCCATGGACTAAATATAGTGTTACTTGTGATCATGAGTATGTGTCACTTTAAGGAAGAGTAACTCAGGCCACCACAAGAGAAAGGTTTACTGTAAAAATATACATGGTCTGAAACTGATAACCAATGTAAAATTATTTATGGGTAATACGAATGTTTACCTGAAAAACCTAAGAAAATGAAGAGAAAAAACTGTTGAAACAGTGATAAAAAATTTGAAGTGACTGCTACAGAAAATGGCATACAAAAATTAATCATTTTAACTCTATATAAAAATTAGGTGATAAAATGAGATAAAAAATTCATTCACAGTATTACCTCCCACAAATTTAAGGCAGCTAGGACAAAACGGTATAAATTTTGTAGTACCTTCATGTTTTACATCATTCTATAAGGTATGAAAGAAGTCTCGAATATTGTAAAACCGTCAGTTGTTCATAACTTACAAAATTAATATGATTTCAAAGTCCTGATATAATTTTTTAAAGAAACTTAAAGTTTATTTGAAAACTATGTAAGTGTAATCAAGGAATTTTTTTAACAAAAGGAAGAACAAAGAGGGATACAAAATGTATCTAAAAAAACAGAGGTTCAACAGTAATGGAAAAGAGGCAAGCCTCTGCCTTGCATCAGAGAGCACACAAAACAGCTTAAAATTTCAACTGAGAACACAGCAGATTTATTCTCTTTCTCTTTTTTTGCAGATAGCAGTGGATCTTTATTTATGTATTTTTTTATTGTTCGATTGCAGCTGTCCCAGTGTCCCCCCATCTCTCTCCCCTGCCCTGCTCCCTGCCCCCGCAGCAAAACCATTCCGTTCTGTGTCATCTGTGTTTAAAACCCTTCTTTAAGATAGAGACCCCAATATATGCACTAGTGGCAGGTGAAAACAATAAATTCTATTTTATATTCAAACGTTCCTTTAAGGCCACTCAGGTGTGCTCATCTACACACTGGGTGAAAGTTTTGCCTAGAACACCTTTAGGGCCCCACCAAAGCTCAAGCCTGTGTGATTCTCCCCACCACACACACGCCTGGGGTCAACACTGTCCCCCTCCTGCTAGTTCTTGAACCAAGCTAAGCTATATTTGACATTTTAGGAATCAATGACGTTCAGAGATGTGGCTGTGGATATTACCCAGGAGGACTGGCAGCTAATGCGTCCCGTCCAGAAGGAATTGTACAAAACTGTGACATTACAGAACTATTGGAACATGGTTTCTCTAGGTAAGCATCATTTATACCCACTCCTCCTCCCAGGACATCCACCAGAGTATCTTTTTTATTTTCCCCTCTGTCGTTAAAGGGGCGTTGGGTCTCTGAAGTACTTTGCTAAGAATGGAGTCCAGAGATCAGTTGTGCTCATCCCACTTGGGTGCAAAAGTGGCTGTGTTCTATTCTCTTTTTCCCAAGGGAAAGGTTTCTAAGTGGAAGATCGTTGAAAGCTGGTGCAGCTTCACAGGGCTGCCACCTGATGCTGACCTCTATGCACATACCCGCTGGGGTGCCAGGAAATTTCTACCCTAGCCTGAAAAGGACAAGGACCTAATTAATTAGATCGCATCTATGAACTGTTTTCCTATAAAGGTCTATCCATGTGGATAAGAAGTCCGGTAATAAAATTTGAACTAATGTTTATATTCAGGATAAGACTCATTATATTCCTCCTGAACAGGACTGACAGTATACAGACCCACTGTGATTCCCATATTGGAAGAACCATGGATGGTGATAAAAGAAATCTTAGAAGGCCCTAGTCCAGGTGAGAGAAGAGCTGGCATGCGTAAGTGTGGTGAGATAGATTTTTAAATATGGCCAAGTCACTTTCCACAAAGACATCCCCGTCTGTCAAGAGCCCTCGGCTGTTGGGCATCACTTCCCCACAGAAGCCGTCTGGAGGAAGCGGTTTCCCAGGCATCGTTTTCACACCTTTTCCCTGCGCGTCGCTGCATCTTTCCCCGTGACCCTTGAGTCCCACACCGTGGCGCTCTGAGGCGTTCCTTGTGCCATTGTTCCCTCCCCCTCCATTCAGGCGTGCGTGCATGTGTTCTAACATCTTCAATTTCACACCTTCCTTTTTGAGTTTCTTTTACTTACTGACAAAACCCTGTAGCCCCCTGCCTCTACTCCCCTAACTCATTTCTTTCTTTTTTATTTTCTAATTATTTAAAAAGACAATTTATTCACAAGGCAAAAATTTTCATATATAAAATATCTTTTTAAATTTCATAAAAAGCCAAACAAAGTCTTTCATGTGTGTATCACATTCACCCAGTTCCTACATCTCCCCAACACAGAACCACTGTTAATTTGTTTCTAGTTTATTCTTACAGGTATTTATTTTGTTTGGTTTGCATAGAAAGTCAATATGAAAATATTTGTCTGTGTGTAGCATACTGTGCACAGTTTTGTACTTTGCCCTCATTACTTACAAATATATCTTGGTAAGTGTTCCAAATGAGTATGTAAAGAGTTTGTATCTGCATCAAATTTTGTGTGTCCCGTATTTTACTGAACCTTGTCCCTATTGATGGACTTTTGATGGTTCCCGTTCCTTTCTTCCTTCACAACAACTTTATTTTGAAAGATTTCAAAGCATAAAAGTTGGCAGGAACAGTCCATCGCACACCTATATATTTTTTACCTGGAATCACCAGTTATCCTCATTCAGCCACTTTGGCCGTATCTCTTACATGCGCACACACGGGCTTTGTTTTTGCACTGGACCATTTGAAAATTAGTTGCAGGCATCATGACGTTTCACTCCTGAGTATTTCTCCGTTTATCTTCTGAGAACGTGAACGTCCCCCTGACGTAGGTGCACCACCATTCTCTCCCTCCAAATACTTAACGTGGATACAAGAATGTTACTTTTGTATAGTCACATACTTAGATTTCTCTAACTGTCCCAAAATGTCCTTTACAGATGTTTGTCTCCCGAGTCCAGGATCTAGTCAGGAGTCACATGCTCCACTTGGTTATCCTGTGTCTTGGTCCCTTTGAATCTAGAACTCTTCCCTAGCCTTTTCTTTTTTTTTTTTTTTTTTCCTTTACTTTTACATGATGTTGACATTTTTTGAAGGATCCAGGCCAGGTTTTTTTAAAAAAATGACCCACATTTGCCTGATTATTTCCTCATGATTAGGTTCAGATTAAGCATTTTTGCCAGAAGTACTTCATGCAAGTGTGTACTTTCCATTGCATTCCCTCGGGAGACACGTAATGTGGTTTGTCTCATTATTGATGACCCTCAGTTTGGTTAGGGTGCTGTGTGCCCGATCTCTCCATTTTAGGTGCTTTGCTTAGGTGCTAAGCTAAAGGTGCTTTTTTTTTCTTTCTAATTAGTAAGAATCTGTGGATTGATGCTTAGATGCCACATGACTGCTCTATTCCCTCATAACGTTTTGTTTAAGGTTCTTAACATGTACTGATGATCCTTGCTTTATTACATTGCTGGTTACAAAATGTGATTTTCTAATTCAGCCGTCCCTTCTAAATGATTAATAGCATTCTTCTGTAGAAAATAACTGTCTCTTCTCCCACTCCATTTTTATGTGTATGTATCACTACAGACTAATGGAATTTTAAAAAATTCAATGTGTTATTAGTTCATTCGAGTTTGAGGAGGTTCTATTTTTGATGCTCAATTGTCCCAAATTTGGGCAATATAAGACTTTTTTTAAATGGAGGTATAATTGACATAAAACATTATATTAGTTTCAGGTATACCATATAATAATTTTATATTTGTATACAATCCAAAATTATCATCAATAAATCTAATCACCATCTGTTACAATACATAGTTACAAATTTTTGTGTGTGATGAAAACTTTTTTTTTTTAAGATTTTATATATTTACTTGTAGGGAGAGAGGAAGGGAGGGAGAAAGAAAGGGAGAGAAACAACAATGTGTATTTGCCGCTCATATGCCCCCAGTTCGGATTGTGGCCCACAACCCAGGCATGCGCCCCGACTGGGAATCAAACCCACGACCCTCTGGTTCGCAGGCCAGCACTCAATCCACTGAGCTACACCAGCCAGGACAAAGATGAAGACTTTAAGATTTACTCTCTTAGAAACTTTCAAATATGCATTCTAGTTTTATTAACTGCAGTCACCGTATTGTATGTTACATCCCCAAGGCTTATTGAGTTCATTATTGAAAGTATGTACCTTTTGACTCCTTCACCCATTTCTCCCACCACCACTGCCCACATACCCTGCCCCTTCGGCAACCACCAGTCTGTTCTTCATATCTAGGAGGCTGGCATTTTGTTTTTGTTTTTCTTTGATGTGTTGGTGTTTCTGTCTTGTTTTTTTAGATTCCACATATGAGTGAAATCATACAGTATTTGTCTTTCTCTGTTGTATTTTACTTAGCACGATGCCCTCAAACCCCATCCATGTTGTTGCAAATAACAGGATTCATTTCTTATGGTTGAGGAGTTTTCTGTTAACATCTATACACCACATCTTCTTTATCCAGTCATCCATTGATGGACACTGCCATGAACGTGGGCGTGCATGTATCTTTTTAAATTAGTGGTTTCATTTTTTTCGTGTGTGTGTATCCAGAAATGGAATTGCTGGATCATATGGCAATTCTATTTTTAATTGTTTGCGGACCCTTCATACTGTTTTCCATAGGGGCTGCACCAATTTAAATTCCCACCACCAGTCCACTTCCTTGCCAACACTTGTTATTTCTTGTGTTTTTTATCATAGCCATTATAACATGTATGAGGTAATTATCTCATTGTGGTTTTGAGATGGTTAGTGATGCTGAGTAGATTTTCATGTGCCCATTGACCATCTGTGTTTTCTTTGGAAAAATGTCTATTCAGGTCCTCTGTCCATTTTCTAACTGATTGGTTTCTTTTGTTTTCTTTTTTTTCTTTTAAGTTGTATGAGGTCTTTATATATTTATCAGATACATAGTTTGCAAATATTTTCTCCCATTCTCTGTAAAAAAAAGTAGGTTGCTCTGTCATTTTATTGATGATTTTCTTTGCTGTTCAGAAACTTTTTAGTTTGATTTGGTCCCACTTGTTTATTTTTGCTTCTGTTTCCTTTGCTTTTGAAGTCAAATTCAAAAAATCATTGCCAAGACTGATGCCAAGGAGCTTTCACCTATGTTTTCTTTTCTATTTCTTTTTTTAAAAGATTTTATTTATTTTTAGACAGAGGGGAAGGGACGGAGAAAAAGGGGGAAAGAAGCATCAATGTGGGGTTACCTCTCACACGCCCCCCACTGGGGACCTGACCTGTAACCCAGGCATGTGCCCTGACTGGGAATCGAACCGGTGTTCCTTTGGTTCGCAAGCTGGTGCTCAATCCACTGAGCCACACCAGCCATGGCTCGCCTGTGTTTACTTACAGGAGTTTATTGTTTCCAGTCTTACAGTCGAGTCTTCATTTTGAGTTAATTTTTGTGTATGATGTAAGATAGTGGTCAAGTTTCATTCTTTTGCATATGGTTATCCTGTTTTCCCAGCACCTCTTATTAAAGAGACTGTCTTTTCTGCTTTGTATATTCTTGCCTCCTTTGTTGTACATTAATTGACTAAATATGCATGGGTTTATTTCTGGGTTCTCTAGTCTGTTCTGTTAATCTATGTGTCTTTTTTTTATGCCGTACTGTTTTGATTACTATAGCTTTTTAATATAGATTGAAATCAGGAAGTATGTTGCTTCTAGTATTGTTCTTTCTCGTTTGCTTTGGTTATTTGAGGTCTTCTGTGGTTCCATACAAATTTTAGGATTGTCTTTTCTATTTTTGTAAGAAATGGCATTGGAATTTTGGTAGAGATTGTGTTGAATCTGTAGATTGCTTTGGGTAGTATGGACATTTTAGCAATATTAATTCTTTCAGTCCATGAGCATGGAATATCTTTCCATTTATTCGTGTTGTCTTCAATTTCTTTCAGCAGTGTCTTACAGCTTTTAGTACAAAGGTCTTTTACCTCCTTGGTTAAATTTATTTGTAGGTAATTTATTCATTTGATGCAGTTATAATTGGAATTATTTTCTTAATTTATCTTTCTGATAGCTTGTTGTTAGTGTATAGAAACACAACAGATTTTTGTATACTGATTTTGTATTGACAGTTTTTTGGTGGAGTCATTAGAGTTTTTTATATATAAAATTATGTCAACTACAAATAAGAACAGTTTTATTTCTTCCTCTTCAATTTGGATGCTTTTTATTTATTTTTATTGCCTTATTGCTCTAGTTAGGACTTTTGATACTATGTTGAATAAAAGTGGCAGAGTGGGCATCCCAATTGTGTTCCTGATATTAGAGGAAAAACTGTCAGCTTTTCACCATTGAATATGATGTCAGCCGTTAGCTTGTCTTATATGGTGTGATGAAGTATGTTCCTTCTGTATCCACGTAGTTGAGAGTTTTAATCATAAAAGGATGCTGAATTTTGTCAATGCTTTTTCTGCATCTTCTGAGATGATCATGTGATTTTTATATTTCATTTTGTTAATGTGATGTATCACAATTGATTTGCAGATGTTGAATCATTCTTGAATCCCTGGAGTAAATCCCAATTGATTGTGGTAAATGATCCCTTTAAAGTATTGTTGAATTAGGTTTGCTAATTTTTTGTTGAGGATTTTTGCATCTGTGTTCTTCAGGGATGTTGGCCTGTATTTTTCCTTTCTTGTGGTGTCCTTGTTTGGTTTTGGTATGAAGGTAATTTTGTCCTCGTAAATGTATTTGAAAGCATTTTTGTCCTCTTTAATTTTTTGAAAATCGGTATTGAAACCATCTGTTCTGGACTTTAGTTTCTTGGGAGGTTTTGATTACTGATTTAGTCCCCTTGCTAGTAATCATCTATTCTGATTTTCTCCTTCATGATACAGTCTTGAAATGTTCCAAGGAATGTATTCATTTATTCTATATTGTCCAATTTCTTGACGCATAATTGCTCATAGTAGTCCCTTATGTCCTTTGTATTTCTGTGGTAGTTACAATGTCTCCTCTTTTATTTTTAATTTGATTTATTTGAGCCCTCTTTTTTTTTCTTGGTGAGTCTAACCAGAGGTTTGTCTTTTTTGTGTATTTTTTCAGTGTCTATTTCATTTATTATTACTCTGATCTTTATTTCCTTCCTTCTACTAATGTTGAGCTTTATTCATTCTCTTTTCCTAATTTTTTGAGGTATAAAGTTAGATTGTTTGATATTTTTCTTGTGTGTGTTTTTTTGTGTGTATGGTGTGTAGTACTACGAACTTCCCTCTTATAACTGCTTTTGCTGCCTCCAAGAAATTTTAGTATGTTTTTTGTATGAATGTGGTTTTTGATTTCTCCTTCGATTTCTTTGTTAACCCACTGGCTGTTCACTAGCATGTTGTTTAATCCACACCTAATTGTGATTTTTTTTTTCCAGTTTTCTTCTTGTAATTGGTTTCTAGTCTTATACAATTGTAGTCGAAAAAGATGCTTGATATAATTTTAATTTTCTTAAATTTATTAAGACTTGTTCTGTGGCCTAACATGATCTATCCTGGAGAATGTTTCTTGTGCACTTGAGAAGAATGTGTGTTCTGCATTTGGATGGCATGTAGTGTATATTTCAAGTCCATCTGCTCTAATGTGCTCGTTAAGGCTGATGTTTTCTTGTTCATTTTCTGTCTGGATGATCTATCCATTGATCTAAGTAAGGTATTAACGTCATCTACTATTATTGTATTGCTATCTGTCTCTCCCTTTGGGTCTTCTAATATTTGTGTTACATAGGTGCTCTTTGGTGCATAAATATTTATAAATGTTGTATCTTCTTATTGGATTGATCCCTTTATTGTTAATGTAATGTGCTTCTTTGTCACAGTCTTTATTTTAAAGTATGTTTTGTGTAATACAAGTATAGCTACCCCAGTTTTCTTTTGATTTTCATTTGTATGGAGCATCTTTTCTATCCACTTTCAGTCTGTGGATATATCTGAAGTGAGTCTCTTATAGGCAGCATAGAGATAGGTCTTGGGTTTTTTAATCCATTTAACCATGCTATGTCTTTTGATTGGAGAATTTAGTCC